TTTTTTTCTGTTCTCTTCTTTCCTTCAGTGATTTTGCTTGTTAACAAGCTTAGACAAGCTGAGAGGACTCTATAAATAATATATGAAGATTTTGTGGCTCAGATAAGGTCCAGTGTTGTTTATTTCTTTGCTCTTGGCTGACATGTGGCATTGCTATGGCCTGCTTTTGGCCCAGATCTGGCAAACAGGAGCGGTCCGCCCAAGTGCCATCATTCTACGCTACATGTGGGCCAGATCATCATCCCACATGTGCCAGATGTGGGCCGGATCTGGGCCGACAATATCTTGCTATCTGGCTATGCTGTTAGTCAAACTGGTGATGCAATACTAGGTTTGAAATTATCTTTAAAATGTGCTTTTTTGTTTGTTTGTTTGTGTAGTGGTGGTAAAGAGAAGGAAGGAGATCTGCAGTACTATCCATTCAGGATGGCCCCATATTTAATGAAGGTTCAAGATTCAGAGCTCTCTGAGGAACATTTCTGCTGCCTCATTTTAGCTGAGAGAGTTCACTCTGGATATGAAGGTAATCACACAGATGCTATTGCCCTCAAGTGTTTAGCTTTTAAGCTATTATGATAACTAATTAGGTTGTCTTTTGATTTTTTTTTTTTCGAATTTGCAGCGCCAAGAATTCCACCTGATAAGAGAATCTTCACCACAACACACACGCCAAACTGTGTGTTTCAAGATATTGATGAAAGGTTTGTGTCTGTGAGCAGTGTTAACTATGACTGAAGAAAATACCAGACTGTGGTTAGTTGTCGTCACCTGCAAATACTGTATTATGCATCATCCTCTACAGGATTGATTAAACACTGTTTGGTTACATCAATAAGGCAGTAATTATTTTAAGCTTCTTGTCCTCATTTGTAAGTTGCTTTGGATAAGTGTCTGCTGCTAAATGTTTAAATGGAAATGGAAATTTGCCGTTACATATTTTAATTTGGCTAAAAAATACTCTGGTCTGTGGTTGACAACTTTGTTGATGACTTTGCAAGATGGTGTGAGGATGCATTTTAAAGACTAAAAATACTTTTTTTTTTTTTTTCTCCAAATACTGAACATCTAACCGGACATTAAAGTGTGCACTATTTGAGCAAATTTAAGAGTCATTTAATGTGGATAAAGCACTAAAGTTTGTTTATGTTTTACAAGTCTTATATTGAATCAATTGAGTCTTTTTCCTTGCTGTATTGGTATCCTACCATAAATGTCAAGGATAAGAACTCTTGAAAGTTTTGAAAATGAGGGTAGTAAAATAAATGTCATCATTTTTAGATAAAAGCGTCTGCTAAATGACTAAATGTAAATGAGAAGGAACGGATAAGCTTGGCCAAGATAAACCAAAGGCAGGTGTTGTGAAAAGCCCTAAGTATAATGTCAGATAATAGCTACCTAGTGCACCAGGAGTTTCAAACCTTTCCCTCTGGCATTCAGTTTGGAATATATCTGTTATTAGAACAAATCTACTTAGACAATCTTTTATCCCCTCAGCTTTGTCTAAACGCTGCAACCAAATTTATTTTGGGAAGTAAAGACAAACTGAAACTGAATAATATAATCTAAAAGCATATTAATACTTGCATACTTTGCAGGGCAGTGCCTCTGTTAGGATTTCTGCCTCAGGACTTGATTGGGACACCTCTTCTGTTACACCTGCATCCCAGTGACAGACCTGTAATGCTGGATGTGCACCGGAAAAGTAAGGATACAAATTCATACACAAACACAATTCATGAGAAGTGTTTATTTTGTTAAAATGTTCTAATCCTGGTGTTCCATCAGGGGGTGCCTGACACTCAGACGAATCCTCCTTTTTACACAATTTTTGTCATGTCGTGTAGCACAAATTCAATATAAAGTAAATTTCAAGAATAGGTAAAGTTGAGTATCATTATCTACTACTAATAAAGACAAACTAAAACTGAAACCTATAACTCGCATTATGCTACCCTCAGCCAATCACATCCAGTATTGTCCTTGCTTTCCTAAATGTCTCCCTCTCTGCTACAGTTCTGCAGTATGTTGGGCAGCCATTTGATCACTCCTCGATCCGATTCTGTGTGAGAAATGGAGAATATGTTACTCTAGACACAAGCTGGTGTAGCTTTGTAAACCCATGGAGCCGCAAGGTGTCCTTTGTTATTGGACGACACAAAGTTCGCATGTGAGTTTTCACCTTCTGTATATATTCCTAACGGTTTTTGATTTAATTTAGATAAAGGTAGATATAATACACATTTTTCTTTTGTGATAAACCTTTTTGATGTATGGTTTCTGTGTCTACGTGCAGGGGTCCAATGAATGAGGATGTGTTTTCAGCTCCGGCTTTTACAGAGGAAAAGATCATGGATTCAGATATACAGGAAATTACTGAACAGGTTCACAGACTGCTTCTACAGGTGAAATCTCCGTATTTTGCAGACACAAAAACACATGCAGACTGGAGGATGTAAAAGTAGTGCATTTTTTAGCAGTGTAAATTTGATCAGGTTTAAAGTTCCACAGATGGCCTCACATTCTCCACAAACACTCTGTAGCATAATGTGGAATTTGTAGTTGATGTGTCTGACTGTTGCCATAGCTAGTTGCTAGTTTCAGTTTAAAGTCTTTTTCAACAATGGAATAGATTGTGTAAGTTTCTGTCTTGTAGCCAGTCCACAGTATGGGGTCCAGTGGTTATGGCAGTCATGGCAGCAATGGTTCTCATGAGCACCTGCTGAGCATAGCGTCCTCTAGTGACAGTAATGGAAATGCAAACACAGCAAACAGTGGGAGCAGGATCAACGGAAATACCAGAAAGGAAGAGAGCGAAAGCAAACCGGTAATTATCCTTCTCAGCATGCACATACACATTCCAGAACTTGCACTCAATAACAGTATTTCCAAAATATATATGTTTTTTGTATATAGTTGTATATATTTTATATAGTTTTTTTTTTTATGTAAGAACCTTTCTGCTTTATGCTAATTTTTCATTTAGCATGTTTATTACAGTAGGGTGTTATTAGGTACTTGAAAGTGCTAAAACCCTTCAACAAAGACAAAATTATTAATATATAACTGATTATTTTCTCTCTCCCGAATGCTGTTTTCCTGTGCACTGATGTTTAACATATTTTTTTGTTTAGTACAACAGTACTCAAACCACACCACATCATCTAAAAACTTGTTTTTCAGAGGTCATTTCAGGAGATTTGTAAAGGGGTTCACATGATGAAAGCTCAGGAACAGCAAGGCTCCTCTTCAAAAGCAGAACAGAAAAACAGTGAGTATATAAAAGTGGTGACCCATACTCGGAATTAGTGCTCCGCATTTATCCCATCCAAAGTGCACACACACAGCAGTGAACACACACACACACCGTGAACAAACACCCGGAGCAGTGGGCAGCCATTTTTTTTGCTGTGGCGCCCGGAGGGCAGTTGGGGGTTCGGTGCCTTGCTCAAGGGCACCTCAGTCGTGGTATTGAAGGTGGAAGAGAGCGCTGTACATTCACTCCCCCCACCTACAATCCCTGCCGGTACAAGACTCGAACGGTATATCGACCATTATCGATATATCGATATTTTCTTTATAAGCGATTCGATATGAGGCAATACCACTTGTATATCGATATACAGTAGTTTGATACGAGCACATCTGAAAATATAGCGGAGGACACAGACTGAGCTGCTGCGGTGAAAGTGCAATGATCCAATTTGTTCTAAACATGTGACGAGCTTCATATTAAGGCCTTTAAAAACTCGTAAGACATAGTTTATAGTTTCGTTTCGCATATTAGTTTAAGCGGCTCGCCCCGTCATATACTCTGACAGAAGGGCAGTATGTGCTGCTGACAGAGACACTAGGCTACTCGCGCTGTTTAATGTGTTTGAGATGTGTCTTCCTGAATGCATAACTTACATTTCACAGGTATATTCTCCGTCTGTAAATGTTAGAAAGCCTGGAAATAATTAAATTTTTCTGTCAGAAGTGCATGAACCTTCTGCTTTGGGATTCTCAGCTAAACTTCACAGACTTGATGGAACGAGCGCCGCATGCGCGCCAAACAGACAGAGCTCAATTAAATAGGAGTGCAATAATTCTGACTAAAATATACATTTCGCTGAAATATTTGTAGTTGGACAATAAATGTGACAATTAAAATTGTATACTTACAAGTAAACCTATTTTTATGATAGCACTGACTGTAAAGTGACTAATGGGGTAATCAAAATAACCTAACACAACTCTCATTTATTTTAATTTTTAGTTTAGTGAATTTAACTTCCGCTTTAAAAGCCTTGTTTTTGTTTTTAGATTGCAGTGTTACAATGTTAGAATGAAATGTGATTTTAACCCATTTTTGCACATAATATAAAGGCTTACACATGGTTACATTCACTTTATTTGTTTTCATAGCCTTTAATATGTATTGTTTTGTTGGACAATATTGGGCAGTAAGTGAAATATATATATATTAAATACAGATTGTTTTTAATCCAAATACAAAAACGAAAATACAGAGATATATACACCGTATATCGCAAATCGGCCCATATCGCCCAGCCCTAATGTATAATACAGCAGGGTATGTCAGCGTTACATATAATAGTGTCAATGTGTTAATTATACAAAAAGTTCAGTTTTTGTAGTTGTTGCAAAAACAAAGAAAATCAAATAAACACATTACATAGAACAAGTGGCAGGGGTATTGGTTTGCATTTACACTTAATGCACAGATTTATTCTGACATATACTATCAGATTTTTTGTCTTGTCCATTGCCATGGTTATCACTGTCAATTATTGCATTCAATGCAGTTCAATTCAATTTAATTACAGTTGTCAATCCATGAACATTGCAGTGTGTTGCTAGCAGCATGAAAAATAAAACTTTTATTTAAATTGTGAATGGGTTAATCACTCAGTGTTAGGGCTGTGCGATTTGGGGGAAAATATCAAATTGCGATTTTTTTTGACAGATATTGCGATTTGATTTCGCGATTTTAAATTTGCAAAGTCAAGCTTCAGCTCAATATTGTCAATAATGTGCAGCACAGTATGAGTATCATTACCCTGCTGAAAAAAAACAATAGAAACCATCACAGAAATTCTTATAGTTTCCATTAAACCATTACAAAATTCCTTTTTGTTTTGGGCATTATTCCAATAGGAATTACTGTTGTTCTATTGGTTGCCATCTGCCAGATTACAAATAAAGAACTGTATTTCTTAAGTCAATTATTAAAGTAGTACATATGTTTCATAGGCTGATTTATTCATTTGAAGTATTTGGGATTTTAAGAACAAGTGGAAAATGTGCTGAATGTTTCATTTCATCCAAGTGAAATTAGCAAGCAGTTAGACTTCATTTACATTCGTTTTAAACACGGAGCCAGGCAGAGAGGAGCGAGTATGAGAAGCATTCACAGACACAGGCTGTGTGTGCGCTCTTCTGAATTGGGAATAGCCAACATGCATTATAAACTTATTTCAAATTAATCTGTTGGGGAGATAAAATGTGTAAGATAACGTTCACGTACTAACAAAAACATCTAAGAATGTATCTTTTATTCTCTAGTACTCAAAATAGAACCGATAAGGGAGCTTTTGATATGCGCTGTGACGTAGCTCTTGCAAATTACCTATTTTGTTCATTGTCTGTCATTTCGAAGCTTATGTTACATACGTTTTTCTTTCGTTTTAATTTGCT